AACCCGCGACCTTCAGGTTCCGTGGGCAGCACGTTATCATTGAGCTACTGACCAAGTGGCTCAAGAGGTGCTTTCCACTTCTGATACAATAACATTATGAGTTTAAATTATCAAAACAGGTTTCATAAACTTTGAAGTGTTCTTAGTAATCCAGCTGAAATAGGCACAGATATCCATCTCATTAATTATTAATTAACAATATTCTTAGGTGCAAATTCTTGACGAGCTGATTTGGTTTGTATGCCAGTGATGAGTGGCCAAAGAACAGAAACCTGAGAAAAACTACTTAGAGTTTTTCCTGACATTGTTTAAACCTCTCTCGAAATACATTTTAATATTGCGCAGGAAAACCAACAGGGGGTAACGGAATTTGTTGTCTCTATTTCAGTTTACGATATATATTCTAGCTTGTACGCTATATTTTCCGTTATTAAAGGCTTCATCCAACTAGGAGGAAAAGGGTTGGAAATAAGTATCGGGTCTTATATGCAAATTTATAGGAACCGTCATTGTAGGAACTGAATAACACGCATTCGAAATAAAAGGAACATAAAGGCAACTTGGTCTAGCACTGAAAATAGGAAGCACCTACAAAACTTCAGGAAAATATTTATAGCCTCACAGTTTAACTAGAAGTAAGAAGAGTTACTGAAAGATGTGTAATACGGCAAGGTCAACAAAAACAGAACTTCCGTTAAAAATATTGTAGAGGAACAGAAATGTTGACTGTAATGTTAGAAATCACAAAATACCTGCTAATATGGTACCAACCTGTTAAACATAGTGTAGAAAGTGGCAACTTCATAAACTCTTATTGGAGGAACGCTTAGAATTTCGGCGACCTTATTCATCGCAGAAATTGGTAACCAACCTGGATAACAAGAACCTAGCAAGAAGTTTAGAGACAACTTACCGTGTTGTCGTTGAGCCAAATCCAAAGCAGGAATAATTGCTGCTGCTTTGTGGGCAGGTGGGTAGTTTGCAATTATTACATCTAGCCTCCTTTTGTTTTCGGCAGTAAATTCGAAAGGTGTTCTGCAATTATTTTCAGGAGTTTCTCTATGCTAAATATGGATTACACCAAAAGAAAAATGGCACAACATACCACAAAGAGGTGTGAAGATTGACGTTTAGGGTAGCAAAATGCATTTATATTTAATTTATGCAGCAACTAAGATGGGACTGATGTACACGACCAATCGAAAATACCTGGACCCGGAAACCACCGCTAAATCGGACTGCCATCTCTCGACCTTCAAAACGCCTAAACCCAATGTCCAATATCCAATTTCTGTTCGTCAAGCTTGGCGAAAGTAGTCAATTTCTTGATGCTTGCTTCTGCGTCTTGTGGAGTAGTTCCAGGTTTTTGTGAACGACTTCTAATTTCGTTTTGTAAAATTAGTGAACGATAGTTCCTTGAGTTCTGTATCTGTTTTATTGAAATAAGTTATACTTTTGGAATTGTCACGGCTGTTTTCCTGGTTCCGAAAAACCTGAAAGGATTGAGGTGATCAATCGCTAATTATTCTGGCCTCAGATAAGTACTCCTCCTCGTGATCTGCAGATGATAGGACGCTTCTTGATTACAGCCCATTTGTACCACAAGACTCCAGATTGGGCTTTAACAACTGCTGAAGGAAGAAGTTCATACGGCTTACAAACTCTAGCTGCAAACGAGTTAGCATGGGTCTTTGCGGGTTTGATATCGTGCTCTACTCCAAACGGTTGACCCCGAAGGTGGCGTTTCGGATCAAAGCTAAGGAGGAATCTGTTAAGATTAGGCGGACTATGGGCAAATCATGGCCATACCCCTCCAATCCCCCAGTATTTTACTGGATGCAGCTTAGGGGCGACCAAGTGGCCTAGTTGAGGTGTGTACCACAACTCAGCCACTTCCTTCGTAGCTCTTCTCTGGACCCGTTCTAGGATAGTTATATCCTTCTTCAAGTATGGGGACGTCACAAGCGAAATTTTTCAAAATGGGGGCGAATACCGGGCCCATACACTTCAGTAAAAAAGGATAGACTCTCCAAAGTTCGCGAAAGAAACCCAAAGACTCAATGGACCGTGTTGGCTGAGGGGTGACAGTGGACTGAAGCTTCAAGCGTGTCACTTAAGGTAACTCCTAGATCTTGTTCCCTGTTTGAGCGATCGATATTTACTTCGCCAAGACAGGCGCTGGGGCCGTTTTTATATATGTCATCAACCATTATCCTACATTTCTCAGAGTTGAGAGGGAGCAGGTTTCCTGTAGTTAAATTTGGGATTTGGGAAAGGTCCCCCTGGAAAGCCAAAATATCTGTTGGCATCTGCATTTTCCTCCAATCCTTCATATTGTCTGCATATAGTAGTGAGCGGGAACCAAGGGATCCTGGTAGGCCGTCGATGAGAGCGAGGCATTCAGTATCTGGAAACATTAGGTTAAAGAGGACTCAAAGCTAAATGACTGCAGCCTTGTGTTAAGATAGCCTTCGACTCAAATTGATGATTTCATGTGTTCACCCAAAAACTGAAGTTTCTTACGCACAGTTTCATGATACACTGTGTCGATCACCTACGAAACGTGAAGCAGACCGATGTTAATGGGCTTCGTCTGCTCAAAAGCGCCAGCCCAGTTAATCCAAGCTGTCAACAAGTCAGTGCTACGAAATCCTTCAGATAAAAAATCATACTGGGGGTCGTTCGCCTTCGAATTCCCAAGTAGTGGCTAAATGAGCCACTTGTCACATTATTCATGACAGTCGCGACTGAAAAGATCGGAATAAATTCTTTACGGTTAGAAGTAAATAGTTTCACTCAAAATTTACATACTGGGGCGAAAGCCATCCGCTACCAATCGAAGGGTGACGTGCATCCAAGAAACGAGAATGTGAAGAGGATCGAAAGTGTGGCACTCAGGTCATCAGCACACTCTGAAGTTACCCATCTGTAAATATCACAAACATTGACTCAAAGTACAAGAGTTATTACCTCTTGTTCTTCTGGACTTTGACGTTCATCAGTTGCATTTTGGGCTTCATAGTAGTTACATTCACAGTGGACGGCCCCAGGCCTGCTGACAGTTTATTATCTGCACTGTAGGGAAGTTAGGGATTACTTCCGGTGACTGTTTCTCTTCTGCTCAGATTGGGGTTTCTGAATTTGTTTCACTAGGTGGTTCCTGGACGAAGTTCGTATCGTCCGATTCACGCCCTGGCAGCGATTATCCGAATCATCGATGTCTGGGCCTACCAGAAGACGAACTCAACTGAAGGCGAATTCAAAGGTGAGTAATGATTTTAGTCAGAATTGTACTACCATGAGTGTATCTGAGGATGCTTATTATAGGACGGATGGTGACCATATCCGGGACATTTCCAATATTCGTGGTGGCCCAGTAGTCAGGCTTCCCAGTTATGGGTTGTCGAAATTGGATGGCAACCCGGCTGATTACTGTACATTTATGAATTAAGTGAAAATATCCTGGAGTGATGATAAAGTCACGGACATTTACAAATAAATAAATATTCTATTCTTGGCTTATGTCGTGAATTACTAACCACCAATACTCATCGAGGTCTTTCCCAGTTCAATCGTCTGCCATTCAGCATTAAGACTGCCCCCGCTATTTTTCAACAGATCATGGACACTATGTTGGCAGGCATAACGGGTGTTGCTGCATACCTCGACGATGTCATGACGACAATAACTATTATTACTATTCCTGAGTATACGGGCACACACCATTTTTACAGGTACAAATAAGTTTCGACATAAATTACACGTCTTCATGGAAGGCAATCTCAATCCCCACCTATTGTCACTGGAAGATATAAGTGCTGCATGTTCACATCATGAGACATCCCAACAGAGAATGAGTATGCAGAATGTTTACCAGTTGAACAAGTGGAAGTATTGTCTTTGCGCTAACGAAAAACCGGGTTTGTATCTCTACACCACATGTACTGCCTGGAGAAAAATGAAGCTTGAAGCTAATGCTTCCATTGTAACAGTCTGTAGTTTGGGCTCGAGATAATGATGAAAAGTTTATGAGGGGTTGTGTGCACGAATTGTTCACTCGTTGTACTTCATTGATGATTCCAGAAGTGTATAATTTTATCCATCCCAAATCAGTCACCACCTGCTCAGCGGAATTATGGATCAAATAAAGTTGATCCTACAACGAATCCAAGACGACTGCCTCCCACTCAGAAAGGAGAAACGTGGACATTCAGGTTTCACCCCACCGCAATGGACTCACAGAGTTTGATTACTTGTTCATCTGGTTGGATTGTGCCAACAAAGCTGCGCATTTATTATCTCGCGTGAACTTCATGCAGGAAAAAGATCGAGGAGTTATTCTTATATGCATAGATTAAAGTTTGCATATGGTTCGAATGACTCCAAAAAGGCGAGAACTTCTTTCCTCTCTGTTTGTCCTGCACGGCATTCCATTGTCCAGTATCTCCTTGCGCTTCCTTTTCTCTTTTCTTTCCAATATCAGCCTGACGAGAAAGTCCTAAGCATTAATTTGATCAAAAAGCATCACCCCACTGAAAATCCTCCTTCGTACACAATATTGGTAGCTGATGTTAGAATTGTTCAGCTGGCTTGCCTACGATTTCCTGTTTCTTAGACAACTTCACAATCAACTCACCTCCCCACCTGCACCCCAAGTGCTACCACAAACGAGGCCTCAATGACAATAGCTGGTCTGCGATTTCTGGTCCATCATGAACCCATTGGAAACCTGGGTAATAAACCAAATCCGAGAGGTGCCTTTACCCATCGCCGACATATCCACAATAATGTTATGCAATGTATTTCTCTGGTAATTCATCTGGTATGAATTCATGTAAGAGAAGTCGACTAACAGGCAACGTATCTCCCTGACAATGCCGCATACCTCACCGTGAAATCTGTGAGGTTTTACACGTGTGTAAAATCCACCGCTGCTGAACGACGATTCTTCCAGTCCTTAATTACTTGCACCGCAACAAATATATCCAGCATTATCAATCAAAACTTCTGGGAAAGGTAACACTCGAAGAGTGAGAAGTGCTTGAACTAGTATATTCACTTGGATTAAATAGTTACGTGGATACTTACTCATTCCTGAAATCATCGAAGTAAGTTATTATTGGTCAATAAAGCTAGGAACATAAGAACTGCTGTTAAAATGGACGTTTGTCTGATGAAACATTGGGTTTTGCAGACGGGTAAATCATTTTGTCTACTCATAACGCAAACACCGAGCATTACACCGATTTGATTCCACTGCAGTGTGAAGAAGGAACTGTGAGTAGGAATGACCTAAATTCACACCCACGTATGTTCGCCATGGTGGTATTTTCCTGCTCACTTCATAACTTTCAGACGCTTGATATCATGACAGAGTTTAACATCCTCCTCCTATACCTTTAAACACTGCTCAAATCTTTCAGGTTTCTCAACTATTATCAATTTGATGATGCTTGTAAAACGGCTTACTTCACGTCGAATTCATGACCTGTTTTGATGCCCCAACTTTTGTAGCAAATATTGTTATTGATCTGAACATTTTAACGTGTCATTCCCACACCATCGAGTTTGTAACTCAGTCCAGAATTTCTGCTTCTGAATGACCGAATCCTACACAAGAACCGACCCTAACGTCGAATGATATCGCTGCTGCTACGACTGGTCAACTTGCAACGGGACGAATAAATATAAATGAATAAATAGATATTTTATTCTCACATTAGTGATTGAACATGAGAGAAGGCAGTTTGCAGGCATCACCACGTTGATATATGCTGCAAAATCTACAAGATTTTACGGGACCTGAATGGTATTGAAGGGAGATAATTAAATTAGATTAAAAACATCAGAGGATTATGCAAGTCATGATATGAACGAGAAAACACCACTTTTCAGCATGTACAGAGTGTTAGGGCCTGGATCGTTTAGAGTCACACTTTCTTTTTCACCACTGGTAGCACGAGTTTAGTTCAATCCAGACGCCAGGGTGATCACGAAGTGCGTGTGGTTCGCCAGAAATCTAATTCCTCTGCATCCATTTCCGACCAAAAGCCCCCTGGTTCCTTGCCTCCTGCTCGTCATCCCAGCAGCCCATAAAATACCAAAAGAGACACGAAGAAGACCCCTCCGTCCCCCTGCTGGCATTGTGGCGCGTAGCATTTCGTCGAATCTTGTCTTTGTAAGCATAATAAATGCAGAGATTGCAGCACTGTGGGTCACAAAGATGGAGTTTGCAAGCAGCCCTCACCGCA